TCACTAGTCATTAGGGAGATGCTAATCAAAGCCACAATGAGATACCACTTCACACCCATTATGATGGCTATTAATTAAAAAAAAAAATACCTCAGAAAATAACAAATATTGTTGGGAATGTGGAGAAACTGCTGGTGGGAATGTAAAATACTATACCCGCTATGGAAAACAGGACGGTAGATTACTCAAACAATTTTAACTAGAACTACCATATGATCCAGCAATTCTACTTCAGGGTATTTACCCAAAAGGAATGAAAATATCTTTTTTTTTTTTTTAAAGATTTTATTTATTTATTTATTTGCGAGAGAATGAGAGACAGAGAGCACGAGAGGGAAGAGGGTCAGAGGGAGAAGCAGACCCCCCGCCGAGCAGGGAGCCCGATGCGGGACTCGATCCCGGGACTCCAGGATCATGACCTGAGCCGAAGGCAGTCGCTTAACCAACTGAGCCACCCAGGCGCCCAGGAATGAAAATATCTTTAAGTGATATTTGCACACCCATGGTCATAGCAGCATTATTCATAATAGCTAAAATGGGGAAGCAACCCGAGTGTCCACTGATGAACAGATAAGCAAAGTGTGGTGTATCCATACAATGGAATATTATTCTGCCTTAAAAAGGAAGGAAATCCTGGGGCGCCTGGGTGGCTCAGGTCATGATCCTGGGGTCCTGGGATCAAGCCCGTGTTGGGCTCCCTGCTCAGCAGGGGAGTCTGCTTCTCCCTTTCCCTCTGCTCCTCACCTCCACCTTGTACTCACACACGTACTCTCTCTCTCAAATAAATAAAATCTTAAAAAAAAAAAAAAAAAGGAAATCCTGCCATTTGCAACAGCATGGATGAACTTGGAAAGCATCATGGTAAGTGAAAGAAGCCAGTCACAAAAGACAAATACTATGATTCCACTTATATGAACCACCGGGAATAGCTAAATTCACAGAGACAGAGAGTAGAATGGTGGGTGGCAGGGGCTGGGGGAGAGGACTGGGGGAGTGGGTAGTTGGTATTTAATGGGAGCAGTTTTAGGTTTGCAAGGTGAAAAGAGGTCTGGGGACGGATGGTGGTGATGGTTGTGCAACAGTGTGAATACACTTAATACCACTTCAAAACGGCCGCAATGGTAAATTTTATGTTATGTGTATTCTATCGCGATGTTTTTAATTGTTAAAAGAAGAGAAACAAAGCAGGCAAACAAGACACCTTTGAAGGCTAGATCTTGGCTGCCAGTCTGTGGCCTCGGAGCACAATTTTCTGAGGTTCTACCTTGAGGTTCAAGGGCAATGCAGGGAGTGCAGTCTGGAACACTGGCACGAGCCTTGGGGGTGTGGAGGCCACTGCTCCAGGGACATCCACAAAGGAGGGGGAGCCCGAGGCCACCAGGATGTGGCCCGGGGCTGCTGCTGCCAACACTGGGGAGGGTCATCCAGACCAACCACAACCACATGGCAGTTGCCAGACCAACCACCAGTGGCCTCTGTGGCCTGGGTCAGCTGGAAGCCCGAGGACTGGGGACCTGTCGTCCAACTGCTCCCCACAAGGAGCACGGTGGGTGCCCAGTAAATACAAATATCTCCATCTGACATTTATCCGCGGGTACACCTCCGAAGACTCTCGCAGCCCCCTCAAGCCTAGGTCCCAGCGGGGATAACGGCAGCCCCCTTTACTGAGTCAGCTTGGCCAGCAGGGCACGGGGACCTCCTAAGATCATCACTTTAACCCCCCGATTCTGTGAGGTAGATACCATTATTATCCCCACTTTCCAGGAAGAAAAACCGAGATTCCAAGAGATGAAGCCTTAGTTAAGCAACTTGCTCAAGGTCACCTGACCACTAAATGGTGGATGTCGGATTGAAACTTGGGTCCGTGGGACCCCCACGGGACCCTCAAACTCCACTACCAGGGCTACACTGCCTTTCAGGAAGAGCAACATGGGAAGGCAGCCACATCCAGAAGGCAGGTCTAGACAAGGCTGGGAATAGGGCACCATGAGCATGAGGCAGAGTGTCCACCTCTTTTCTCAGATGAGCAACATTTAGAAGAGCAGGAGGGTCGGTCTGGGTCAAACCATAGGGAGGCCCACAGGAGACCAGAGCATGCAGAAGCGATACTTCACGAGGCGCAGCACTTCATCGTTTGTCATCCATTTTTCTGTCCAGTCTCACGACTGAGCTAGCCGCTAACCACAGAGCACCCTGTATCAGCCCCAGTTCAGAGAACGGTAAATGAAGGCCCAGGGAGGCGGTGACTTCCTACAGCTGCCTGGCTAGCATGTGGCGTGGCTGGAGCTGGACCCCTGCTCGTGTGATTCCAGATCCAAAGCTCTTCCCAGTAAAGACAGTGGTGGTGGCAGGAACACCAACATAATCGGCTCAGCTCATCAGGTGCTATGATGTCCATTTTACAGATGAAGAAACTGAGGCGCAGAGCGGCAAATAACCAGCCCAAGGTCACACAGCTGAGTAGTGCCCAAAGTCAGGATTCGAACCTGGCCCTTGGCCCATGTGGTTGGACATAGCTCCACAGAGTTGGACCCTCCGAGGAGGAGCCCAGAGACCTGGAGCTTCAGGGGCATCCCCTGAAATTTTCAGGAAAGAACCGGCAGCGAGGAAATTCAAGGATAAAACTCGAGCCAAGATGAGGAACCATTTGGAATTCTCCCAGTCGTCCAGGGGAGCTGGGGATGGGAGAGGACAGGGGCTGGGAAGGTTTGGAAAGCTGGGGCACAAAGATACCAAAAGGCTAAGATGCTTCACCTTCAACTTCCCCTGTAAAAAGTAAGTAGATTTTGCTAAATGGGGGTGCCTGGCTGGCTCAGTCCATTAAGCATCTGCCTTTGGCTCAGGTCTTGATCTCTGGGTCCAGGGATCGAGCCCTGCCCTGCGTTGGGCTCCCTGCTCGGTGGGGAGGCTTCTTCCCTCCCACCCCCGACTTGTGCTCACTCTCTCTTTCAAATAAATAAATAAAATCTTTACAAGAAATAAAAAAGTAAAAGAAAAAAAATTTTTTTAGTTTGTTTAAAGTTATGAAAGGCCACGTATTGTGATGATTTCATTTCTACGAAGTGTTCAGAAAAGGCAAATCTGTATAAACAGAAAGCAGATCCCTGGTTTCCAGAGGTGGTGGGGCGGGCGGGGGTGGGGGGGAAAGGAGAGTGACTAAATAGGCCTTTTTAGGGTGATGAAAATGTTCTGAAATTAGATGGTGGTGTTGGTCACATCACCGTCTTAATATACTTAAGACCTTTAAATTGTACACCTTAAAGGGGTAAATTTTGTGGTATGTGAATTATATTTCAGTAAAGCCCTTTAAAAAAAAAAAACTTTTTCAAAAATGAAGTGCCAGGACAGTCTAACCTGGAGAAGGTCAGGGAAAGAAGAGCTGCTGACAAGCTCTTGCCACGGGCCAGGCAAGTCCTGCAGGTGTGAGCCCTGGACCAGCCCCCAGCCCCACAGGGCTACCCAAACCTTGGTTCTGCCCCTCTACTCATCTTGCTCCTCCTGCCACAGTCCCTTTGCACAGACTGTTCTCTCAGCCCAGAACCCACTTCCTCTGCTTTGTGCCAGACCTTAGCTCCAGCACTGCTTTCTCAAGGAGGCTGTCCCTGACCTCCCCAACGGGTCCTGATGTCCCAGACAAAGGCCTCTGGTACAAGCCCTCCTGCCCTGTGTGTGCCCACCTGGAAAGCCCTTGTTACTCTTCGAACTTAACATGGGTGCATGTAACAAATGTCTGTCCTCTGACCCTAGACCGCAGCCTCCAGAGGCCAGGGCGTGCCTGCGCACCTGGACGTCCCCAGTGGTTAGCTTGGTGCCCAGTGGATCCCGGGCACTCCGCAAACATCTGAGAGAGGGAGGCAGAGGGACGCTGCAGGAGGCAACAGAGACACAAAGTTGGTGTGTCACCCTGCCGAGAGGAGCCCCCGACAGTGAGGCAGACAGGCCCAGAGGTAGCAAACAAGGGCGTCAGTGTATCAGAGGGAGACACGGGGCACTAGGGCCGCCCCAAGGAGGCCCACCTGACTCAGCAAGGGGCAAGTGGTCAGAACAGACAGTTCTTGAGAAGAGGATACACCTGTACGGTGGGAAAAAATGCTGCATTGAAAAAAATGCATAAAAGTAATCTGCTGCTCCCTGGAACCGAGAACAAGTCACGGTATTCAGTGATGTTCCCCCAAGCAGAAGGCCCACATGCTGGGTCACCACAGAGAAAGAACTTGGCCCCACCTGAAGGCAGGCCTTTCAACAGAGAGCCCTGAGTTCAGGGCACGGATCCGAGGCAGAGATGATGTAGAGACAGGGTGGGGGGCCTGGGTTCAGGGCACGGATCCGAGGCAGAGATGATGTAGAGACAGGGTGGGGGGCTTTGGGGAAGTGGGGAAGGTCACACAGACACAAAAGACAGACACTGACCATGGCTGTGGGGGGAGCTGAGCCCCCGGACAGGGGCCTCAGGGCCCACATGCAGGTGGGGAGGGAGGGCCCATGGTCAGCCCCAGAGGGCATGCAGCTCAGAGTCTGCACGTGTCCTCCTGGCCAGCCAAGGAAGGAGACAGTGCTTGCCAGCATACACCTGAGGCCCTCCCTGGCTTCCAGAAGTCTGAGAGCTCCTCCTCCCGGGTGCACTCCCACCAGCCTTCCCTGGGGTCGCCTCTGCAGTGAATTCTGTCTACTAGCACCGCCCGGTAGTTGGACGGGGTGGACTCCGCAGTGGCCGCAGGGCTGAAAGCACCCCTGTACCTCCCCGCTTCACTCACATCTGCACACGCAGCCTACGCTTCTAGGAAGCACGAGGAACGGGGCACAAGGAGGAGCCGGAGGGGAGACCCAGGCCTCTGGCTCTTACCACCTTGCCCTCTCGCGCATTCCTGAGCCAAGGGGGGGAACCCTATCTGTCCGTCGTGCCAGTGGCCCGGTGGGTTGGTTCTAGGGGCCCCAAGCAGTGTCCTCTGCCCTGCCCCACGGTGGGCAGTGGCCTCTGCCATCCCATCCTCCCCAGGTACCTGGTTCTGCAGCTGGGTGGATGCGGCTTGCTGGTCACTGTCTCGGAGGGCCAGCCCCTCCTGCAGCCGGGCTCTCTCTTCCTGCAGCTGGGACATGGTCACCACCATCCTATGTACCATGGGGGCCGCACCCGGCCGCCCCGCCAGGCTCGAGCACCTCCCGCTGCCAAAGAGCCGCCCACCTATGAGCAAAGTAGTGGCCAATCAGCAGGACAGCCGAGGACCCACCCTGGCTGAGGAGAGGGGGCCCGTCGGGGCAGGGCAGACCATCGGGGATGGGGCGGGGATGCAAGCCGATGGGCCGGAGGCCGGGGGCTGCAGGAGCATGGGTGAGCCAGGGGCTCCAGGGCCTCCCCTAGAGGAAGCCACGCCCACGGGCAGCTTCTGGGAGACAGGATCGCCTGGATCAGGACTTAGGAAAGCAACTTTCACCCTATACCCCTCAAAGCGTGTGTCCTAGGTCTGACAGGCCATCCCCTCTCCACGGCCAGGCTGCAAGGAACCACAGCTGAGAAAGACACGGCTTCTGGCAACAGGTGATGAAGAGTCTGGGGTTCTCTCCCCAGAAAACACTCTTCTTGGGAGAATATGATTTCTTTAAACCCCAACCCCCCTCTAGAGCACAGAAGAGAGGCAGAGGCTCCCCAGTCTGTCCTCTGACCTCCGCAGGGAGTGATACCTGCACACAGAGAAGGGGTGAGGGGAGGGTGTGCGGGCACAAGGGACAGCGAGACCAGGACACATGGACACAGACAGAGCATGTGAGCAGGAACACAGCCAGGCCCGCTCTGGGCTGACACCTGCACTGAGCACAGGGACTGCACAGGCACGAGGAAAAGATAAATACTGGTGGGGAGGGGGGCCTCCGCCTGAGTCCTCCTCCTGCCACGGCCTTCCACTGTCCTGTCACCAGGAGGAGAGAAACAGACAGACGCACGGAAGGACAAAGACACAGAATCAAGGGCCATGACCTGCTAATAGGGCCTGGGATGTATGTCATAGCTTGCTTGGAGGACACCAAGAAGGGTCACCGTCTCGGCGAGGAGCTGGGGGTGTGCAGAGGTGGGGCAGAGGAGAGGGGGTAAGGGCAGGAGATTTGCCTCTCCCCTCGGGTAGCCCAAACGGAGACCTGGCCAAAGCCCCAGGAGGCAGAAAGAAGCGTCCAAGAGTTTAGTGTGACAAGTGGCATCTGTTGACCCCAGGCCTCCACTCTGAGAGCAGCAGGGCTTCTGGGCTCCCCCACACTATACCCCAGGAGCCACAGCTGAGAGGCAGGACTCCCAGGGGCTCTGCGTCTGAAGTCACACCCCCTACTGGCAGCTTCCACCCACCAGGAGGGGGCAGATGTGCTCACTGAGACTTCAGAGAGGCCAAAATAGAGCTTCCGGGCTGCGCTGGATATCTCAGCCCTGTCCCCAGGAGGGTGGGCCCTGAGAAGTCCCAGGTCCCGCTCTCCAGAGGGCAGGCGAAGCACACACAGGCTGGCTTTTCCCTTTCTCCCAGTCCCTTGCAAGAGCTGCAGCTCGAGACCCTCTGGGAAGCCAGAGCAGGGGCATGGCCAGCTGGCTCGTGGCCCCGGCCGTGGGGCCTGCATGGGACGCAGCAGGTGTATCACTCGCAGTTGGCCAAGCTTCTGCTCCCTGTTCTAGAGAGAGTGAGGTCAGATGGATGCTTCCAGGCCTGCACACGGGGCTGCCATGAGCAGCATGTGACCAGCATGGCCCTCAGCCCTCTGCAAACTGCCATGGTGTGGTAGGGAACACACTAGACTCCCGGTCCCAAGAGCTAGTTCTGCCACCTACGAGATGGGAGGCTGGGGCCCCTGGGGTCCTCCTTTGCAAAATGGAGACACTGGTCCTTGCCCATAGAGGCAACCTTGGAAAAGGAGCCTGGAATCCATGAGGGATGCACAGAAGCGTCACCCAACAGGCCGCAGGGCTCGGATGAGACATGGAATCGTTTTTCTCATCCAGGATACTGAGAAGGTTCGGAGACCCCTGGAGCCCACAGAGGGCTTCATCCTGACCTCAGCACAGGGCCACAGCCAGGGGAGCTGAAACGGGGCCTGGAGAGCACTTGCCAGGGGAGAAAAGACCTTCAAGGAGCTAAGGGAGGTCGGAGGAGGAGGGAGAGGTGAGATCAAAGGGGCACTTAGGGACGCGGGACAGAAGGGGTCTTGGCGCCGAGAAGGCTGCACGCCCCTCTTAGTGAGCCAGTTGTCAGTGCAAGTCATCAAAAGAGAGTGTGCCTCAGAGACCCTGCCTGCACACCGCCCCTCACGGTCACTCAGGCGCAGGGACACTGAGGTCCGGCTCTGAGTCCCCACTCTTCACAGGAGCTGGTCTCCCTCTTCTCCACAAATTAGGAGATCCAACTTGACTGGCTGGACGGTGCACCCCTTCCCAAGGCCCGTCTGCCCACACCTCGGCCAGACCCCGGCACCTGCCCCTGAACACCAGACAGGCAACCGCGGCTCTGGGACAGCCCCAGAGAAGGCAGTGGCTCCTTCCACCCCACAGGGGGTTCAGAACCACCAATCCACCCCTGCTGACGAGAGGAAGAAAGCAAGAGAAAGCTTTCTCTCCACACCTTCTTGGCTGTCCCCTGGGGCTCCCTGAGGATGCTTTTTCCCAATTACTGCTGCGCTCGGGCTTCCCGCTAGGGGACCCCACAAAGGGGGCCCGTGGACTCTTCCAGAACCAGTCATCCTGGACAGAGAAGAAGGGAGCCACCAGCTCCTCTATCCTGGCCTTGTGGCAGCAGGGGACCCACAGCTAAGGGGGATGGGTTCAGGCCTCCCTCGGCAGGCTGTGGCGTCTTTGAGGCTGCCACCCTTGGCCTGCTTTAGACGGGCACTGGGGAAAAGACAAAAAGCAGGGAAATTCAACCCCAGCCCACACGGGCCTCTCATCACTGGGTCGGGCCCTGGTGGCACCGGGAGGGGGGCATCCCTGGAGTAGGGGCGGGCGGGCTGGGGTCTCTGAGTTGAGTGGCCAGGTGGCCAGGATTTGGCTGGGCCACCTCCAGGTGAAGCGGAGAGCATGGGGGGACAGCTCCAACGCCACAGGAGCCTCCCCTCCAGGGCCAGCTTCAGCGGGGGCTGTTCCAGGTTGGCGGGCAGGCCTGCTTTACCTGTTTTCTCTACATTCATGGTGCCACCAGCTTCCTGGGCCTCCCGGTCCCGCCTGGGGGCCGGCGCCTGCCTCTTCGGGAGCTTCTCCTCTTTCGTCCCCTGACTCTTGTTCTCGCACCCCTTGTCCAGGAGGGCTTGCTGCCAAGACACAACCAGAATCCTCACGTGAAGGGGACTGCAGAGGGGAGGGCACCCCTCCTGAGCCTGAGGATGCTGTGCTCCTGGAGCTGGTGAGCACCCCGGGCCCAGGGATCCATCACTCGCTGTGTGAGTGGGTGAGGACAATGAGGCCTGGGGTCTGGAAGAAATGTGCCCAGATGCCACGACAAGATAGTGGCAGCGTATTTTCTGGGCCCCTGCTGGCAGCCAGCCATCTGCACCCATGAAGAAGGTTCTCAGGCACTTAGACGTTCTCACGTGAAACTCACTGGGCTATCCCTGCGGGGCTCTGTGGGGCGTGAGCCGCCAGGGCAGCAACCTGCTTGCCTCAGGCCCACGGCCCCCCCATTCACAGGGCTGTCCAGCCCCACCAGGCACAATCCCCCCCAGGATGTCAGCTGCCCCCACCTACAGACAGCACCAGCTTGGGACTGCCAAGAGGGGGGCACATAGATCCACACAAGCAGGGGAAGGCCATGCCCCCCCGTCTCCTGGTCAAGGAGAAACCGAGGCAAAGAAGGCTGAGGTAGAATAGGCCACCGGACAGGCAGGGAGAGAGGCGGGGAGGGACAGAAAGAATCATCCAGAGATGATGCCGCTCACGTAGAAAGACATCCAAAGCAAGCTGCAGAACCACATGGATAGTGTAATCCCATCTGACGATAAGACAAAACAGGCCTCAAAAAAAAAAAAAGTCTGGGGGACTGTATAGACAATGGGTCTCTCTGGGAGGTCAGGTGATGCAGCAGCTAGGAGGAGAAACGTGCATCATTTAAACTTTTGGGCGAGTAAAAAGAAACTTAACCATGAGAATGTGGGAAGAAGGGAAAGGAGCCTTCATATTTCATTTTGAACCTTTTCTCGGCATTTGTATTTTCAGGCTTATAAGCATCTACAGTGTTCTGGTTTATTTTTTAATGTCAATGGAAATTATCTGGGAAGGGGAGTACAAACATATTTTATTTTATTTTATTTAAGTTTTATTTAAGTAATCTCTACACCCAACATGGGGCTCGAACTCACGACCCAGAGATCCAGAGTCGCATGCTCTTCTGACTGAGCCAGCCAGGTACCCCTACAGACACTTTTTTGCGTGTCTTTGTGCCTTCTGTATTTGAAACAAAAGACAAATGCTCTGTTTAAAAGAATGCTCCGAGAAAGGGGAACCCTTTTACACTGCTGATGGGACTGCAAGCTGGTGTAGCCATTCTGGAAAAACAGTATGGAGGTTCCTTAAGAAGTTGAAAATAGAGCTACCCTACGACCCAGCAATTGCACTACTGGGTATTTACCCCAAAGATACAAATGTAGTGATCTGAACGGGCACGTGCACCCCAATGTTTATAGCAGCAATGTCCACAATAGCCAAACTGTGGAAAGAGCTTAGATGTCCATCAACAGATGAATGGATAAAGAAGATGTGGTATATATATATACAATGGAATATTATGTAGCCATCAAAAAACTCCAAAATCTTGCCATTTGCAACTGTGGATGGAACTAGAGGGTATTATGCTAAGTGAAATAAGTCAATTAGAGAAAGATAATTATCATATGATCTCACTGACATGAGGAATTTGAGAAACAAGGCAGAGGATCATAGGGGAAGGGAGGGAAAAATAAAATGAGACAAAGTCAGAGAGGGAGACAAACCATAAGAGACTCTTAACTACAGGAAACAAACTGAGGGTTGCTGGAGGGGACAGGGGTGGGGGAAATGGGGTCACTGGGTGACGGGCATGAAGGAGGGCATGTGATGTGATGAGCACTGGGTGTTACATACAACCAATGAATCACTGACCTCTACCTCTGAAACTAATAATACACTGTATGTTAATTAATTGAATGTAAATAAAATTTAAAAAAAAGAAAAATTAAAAAAAAAGAAAACAAAATAAAAAACGCTCTGAGTCTGGAGTCAGAAAGCACCGGGTATGAAGGCTGGCTGGGCCTCGTGCATGCTGTGTGGCTCCGGGCAAGTTACTGTCCTTCCCTGAAGCTTCATTTTCCCCATTCCTAAAATAGAAATGTTACCAGCCACCTGATGCCCCTGGCGTGAAGGGAAACTGCAGGAACTTGTGCAAAGTTCTCCAAGCGGCTGGTGCACAGTAAGAACCAGATGTCAGGTTAGCATAATATTCTTTCTGTACTTTTCCATGTTGTTGTTTTTATTATGGCTTTTGTAACCCCAAATCCAACAAACAGAGAAAAGAAAGAGGAAAGCCACATCAGCAGCCTCGTTCACCACGTCTGACTCCCTCCCTCTCTCTCTCTCTCTTTCTCTCTCTCTCTCTCTCTCTCTCTCGACCTCATGTTCTACTTGAGAAGGAAGGGTGGTGGGCACAATCTCTCGTATGTAGGAATACTCCTCCCCCCGACTTTATTTGGCC